AGTGGTGAGTACGACTCATCACTTACTTGCTGAGCCATGGTTCGATACCAAGACCAAACGCCCTATTCTACACTTGTTTCTTTTATGTGTAGGTACGACTGAACGAATATGACTCTACTCCCCTCGCCTCAAGGAGTGGGGGACTGAGGAACTTACTGTCTTCAAGTAAGCAAAGAACTAGCCTGATGAGTCCGAGCCCGACGAGAAGAACGGTTCTAGCCATCCTCTTCTCAGATGGTGACCATTGCAATAAAGGCGGAGGATTTCACCCCTTTCTTCATCTTGGGGCGTCAAGTGTACTCTTTTTTTCTTCATTAGGATTTTTTTTTTTTCATTGGGTTTTTTTCCTAATGAAGGTTTTTAATGAGGCATCGATCTCCCTGACATGGACAAAGGCGAAGATCTTCGAGTCTCGAAGAAGGAGAGTTGACTTGGACTACTCCCTCTTAGCCGAGTTTACTACTCGACTAAGGGAGTGGCGGACTCGTGGTGAGGTTATGGGACTAGGTCTAGAGCCTAATCTGCCCAAGCCCCAAACTTGGACTCATGAGTTCAAGCTCACGACTTGAGCCAGTAGGCCCAAGCTCAAGACTTGGGCCTACCTGCCCAGCCGGGAGCCAGCTAGTTCCGCCGACCTGCCAGTCAAGAAGAGTAACAGTCAAACAATTAATGTGCTTTTAATTATGTATTTAATTATGTATTAATGTTGTAATTGATTAGTTATTATTATTTATCGCGGTTACGATTTGTAAACTCCTATAAAAGACAATTGTAATCCAGGGAGCCAGCCAGCCCAGCCGACCTGCCAGCCAAGAAGAGTAACAGTCAAGCAACTTTCCTTATTCGTATTACTTTCCTTAATCTATGGTAGAGTGCTGAAAAAAATAACAGAAAGGATCAAATCAATCTTTAATGATTGATACCTCTGATACCATGAAGAGTGCTTTGCAAATAAGGTTTAATCTTTTTAGGAGCGAGCCGATGCATTTATATTAGGGAACATGTGTAGCTCTCCTATTTACAATTTATAGATAAGTACAAGTAAACCACTAAAGGATAATTACAAAGAAATAATTAAATATTGTTAATCTATGAATCTATCAGTAATGCAAAGCTAACTCGTGATATGGGAAAATAAGAAGAAAAATAATGGGAAAATGTAAAAAGGAAAAGAAATAGGAATAAAATAAAGAAACTAGGAAGAGAGGATAGATGAGTGATATGGGACCTAGAAGTCTCTATTTATCAAACAGTCACATATATAAATGAGAATAGAGAAGGTTAAAGCGTTGATTTCAATACTCAAAAAGATATGACGATGAAGTACAACAGATGTGAAACCTTCCGCTCTCGCTTCTCTCTACAATGTATGGACGTGAATAATCAACCTAGCCAAACTTACTTATCAGTTCAATATGTCTAGGGTACATACGCATATGCGTTTTATATCCTAGTACAGTGCAAGAGATGGTAAGTCGACCCGTAGGAAAGTGACATACAACTTTCCTAATATTAATATAATAACTACATAATAAATACTAAATGTGCTAAATAAATACAAGGTCCAATAACTAAATTGAATACACAATTACGAGGATAACTAATGCAATTGGGCACACCAAAATAATTCCTAAGAGGACCTATAGAATAAAGGATACAAGAGTGATGGAAGAAAGGATACAGGAGGAAGAAGTAGAAAAAAATAAGGAAAGAAAAAAGATGTCTAATAAGAACACATATTGTGTCCGGTTGACTTGTTGAATAGGTTCATTCATATCACCGGATTGTTTTGAGAAGACACTCATTGTTTAATATGGGAAGATCACTAATAGTTGAGATTATTGATGTGAGTTTTTCCTTTTTTTAATATGAGGGCATCCAACTAAGCCATTTTTATGTAACTTTTTAAAGATTGTTATAAATTTACAATCAAATCAAATGCGTTGAGTTTGTGAAATTCAAAAAAAAAAAGTTAAAATGTAAGTAAGGTTTTGTAATGAACTAGCTCTAAGACTCATCCTCTTCATTTAGGATCAAGACTCAAGAACAACAACATCCAAACCTTAATCACCTTAATCCCAAAAGATTTTGGGATCGACTAACATGAATCAAACAATAGCAGGTAACAGAACATCTACAATAGTATTCTCACCATTGACATTCACATTCTAATCTACATGTGAATCTTCATTAACACCATTTGCACCCTCATCCTTGTTTCAATTTTCATTCTCGATTTCAACATCAATATTTTCATTCTCATCTTTATCGGTAGCCTTCAACATTTTAATTGAGGTCATGGAGAAGCATTTATTTTCACATACCTATCCATAGAACCCATAAAATATTGCATAGCTTCACCTTTTCTTTTTCTACGTTTTCTCTTCGAAACCCCCGACAATTGTTTTTGTTTCCCAGTCATAGTAAAACTACTTTAATAATAATTTTAACTTTTTTTGCCTTAAATAATTTGACCAAATAAATGAGCAATGCATAAGATTACACAGATTTCTTAAATTGCACAGAATGAGTTCAATCAAAATTCAAAAGCATACAGAAATGACATAAACATAAGAGTGCTCATTAAGGGTTAAAGTGTTCTAGCTAGGGTAATGTCTTATTGCTGCCCGTGAGATCCTCATCCAAATCAAATTGCAGAGTCAAGTATGGGCATGTTTCACAGTCTCATACACAGCTGAAAAGTCAAGGTCCCCAAAACCCAAGCTTCTGGCCTTCTTGAATGCCTCATTTGCAGCAGCAGCCAGAGGCACTGAAACAACAACATTTACATCCCCAAAGACCAGAGCCAGCCTCATGTCTTTCTGTTGATGTTTCAAAGGAATTGTCGGGGAAGAGTTGTTTTTTTTATCATGGAAGGTCCTTTCATCTTGAACATTGGATTAACAACTGCTGCAGATCCAACACATCAAGGAGATTTGCCGTTCAATCCGCTTTTTTCAGCAAACGTGAGTACTTCTGAAAATACATTCATCAAGCTCTCCATTATCATGTTCACAACAAGTTTTATTTTTGCACCATTTCCAACCTGTCCTACGAAAAATGAATTCTTTCCTAAGGCATAAAAATCAGGAAGTACTTGCCCATATAAATCCTTCTCCCCAGCGGATAACCAACTGCCCATCTTCAGCAGGCTTTTTACTGCCTGAGACCGGAGCTTAAGGAAAAGTACCACCTCTAGAGATAATTGCCTCATTTATTTTTGAAGAAGTATCTGCATCAACAGTTGACATATCTGTATAACTCTTTCCGCCATAGTTGCTCAAGAACACTGTTTTTGTCAAAAACCACCGAGAGAGCAGCACAAGGGTCAGACAGCATTCCAATAGTATATTTGCATTTTTTAACTACTGCTTCAGGAGATTCTCCCAAAGAAGCTCCTTGTTCGACTAACTCATCACACCAAGAAAGAGTGCGATTCCGAACAGTGACCTTAAAGCCATGAACTCACCGCAAGTTCATGGTCATAACTATTTTACAATTTAGTAAATACTAAATATCATTTAAAAATAACACATAAATAACACAATTTTACAAGAAAAATACTATAAATATTTTTGGAGTAATTTTTATTATTAAGTAATACTACTCACATGTAGTGCTGTTATTCGAGCCGAGCCGAGCCCGAGTATCACACATTCGAACTCGACTCGCTCAAATTTCGAGCCTGGCTCGAGCTCGGCTCGTTAAATTTCGATTCTGTATATGAGCTCGAACTCGGCTCGTTAAAGTAATTTACAACTCGAGCTCGACTCGTTAATATACCCGAGTCAAGCTACTCGAGCTCGAGCTCGACAACTCGAACTCGAAAAACCCATGTATTAACTACAATATCATCATACTCGAAAAACCCATGACAATATGCCCACCTCACGAGCCCTATCGAGCTTCACCGGGTTTTATCGAGTCGAGCCAGCTCGGCTCGTGAACTTTATCGAGTAAACAAAAGAGTTCGAACTCGACTCGTTTTCTCTAATATACGAGCCGAGCCCGAGTTTAATCGAGCCGAGTCGAGCCGAGCTCGAGCTGAGCTCGATTTCCATAACAGCACTACTCACATGATGTGATGAAACTATTGTCTTAGAAAGAGGACAACATATATTGTCATACCTTTTCGATTCACATGATCTTCTTAAGGAGTGTGATCTTTCTTTCCTGATGATCGGCAGGGATGTGATAATTATCTCGAAATCTACTCAACATAAGTGAACATATATTGAACATTTGAACTCATGATGGTGAGGAAGCGGTCCAGCTCGCCGACTCACTCTCCCTTGTGGGAGGTCCCGGGTTCAATTTTCAATGGAGTGAGATTGAGCTCGGTTTACCCAGACCCCTCAAACCCCCTTCCCCGACGCCCCCTAGGGTAAAAAAAAAAGAGAAAAAAACTCTTGATGGTCATGATCGATCAGTTCGGTTTACGGTTAATGAGATAGTGGGCTAGTTTTTAAATATGTAGTATTAGCATCAATGCTTTGCAGTATAATAACACGTGGACAATTCCAATGGAAGTAACTGCCCACAACCGCACTAATGCATAAAAATATGAAATATACGGAGTATTTCGTCTATCATTAGATCACGAAGTCAGCAGTTATAGTCTATTAGTCTTATAGAGTTATAGGCATGTGTACATGCCTACATGGTTCACACATGCTGTTTACAGGCGGGATTGCGGGAACAGGTTTTGTCAACGATTCCGTTTTTATATACATATAGATTGACTACTCATATAGACAAAAAAGCGACTTGCAAAATAATAAAATTAAAACATCAAAAACTGTTCTTTATCGGGTTTTTTACAAGAATATTACTAAAATAAAACATATTTACATAATTATGACTATTCATTACTACAATGTGGTGTTGTGGTAACTTAAGCTCAAAACTTAAATATGAATTACTATGATTTCATTACTACTCTAGTCACTAGTCATATTTTTGTAAATCGTGTTTATTTTGGTCATATTTATGTAATTATTTCTTCTTTATCTCATTGCAATTGAAACCGGTGTAACTGCCAGCATTGTACATCAGTACATGTCACTCAAATGAGTAATTACTCAACTTAATAGATATGAAAACATAAATGATACGGAGTATAAAGCTCAGCTATTTTAAAGATGAATGCTACAGTGAGGGACAAATACGGATGGACCTAGGTCGGTCCGGTCCCGGTTCTGAGCCGAGACCGCCCGATCCCAAAAAATGTTGGAGCTGAGACCTGCTTAAACAGTGTGTCTAGGCATCTAGCATCACCTGATGAAGCCTAATCGTCGCCACGGCCCCCAGGAGACTTTAACTGAGCATGGCAGAGCTCTTACATTCTCTGGATTTTTCACTCTTTGTTTAACAGTGTATGCATATGTTAACTCTTCCCCCCTTCTCAAGCTGTCAAGTATATAAATATAGAATCATCCTACAGTGAGGCTTATAGAGCTGCAGCACCACAATGTCATTTAATTGTATGTTAAGGCCACATTTGGTTGCATTAATCAACTTGTTATGCACATGACAAGAAAATACACATAATAAGCAGCTTGACCAATTAATCAAACAACCACTACTGAACAGGCTCCAAGTCTTTATTTAAAGAAAGACCATAAATACTGATCTTCAAATTGTTTAACCTTCCCCAACCACTTGAAGAAAAAGACCATCCACTAGGGGCTCTAGGAGTGTAGGCTGCAGCTCCCCCAATTACTTGTTCACCATCTCTATTATGTACTATATGCATAACGATAACGAATGAAATTTCAAGAACAAGATCCATAGAGCTCCATGGAAATAAAGAAGAGAACATGGAATCACATCTCTGCTACAAATAAAAGTAAATTACATCTTTTAGCTGCAACAAAAGAACAATAGTGTATACACAAACAAGAGCATACAGATGTCATCCATATGGCAAAGGGGGAGGGTGATGTCATATTATGTCCACATCATAAATGAATGACCATTGGCTGAAGATTGTATTTTTTATAACATCTTCAAATCATCTTACTTGTTGAACTTGTGTCTCTTCAAATCTCTCCTTTCATCCTTCTCTCTTGATTTTCTCTTAGATTTTTGTTTCCTACAATGACATTTGTTTGGTTTGACCTTCGATACTTTTACCCTATCATCATCACCATCTGAAGACTCTGAGGAGTTCAGCCATAGAGGTCTCTCCGGGCCGACAATAGAACGGCCTCTGAATCCAAGATCCTCCAATGGTTTTGCTTCATTATCTGAACAAGAAGGGTAAGGGCCGGTTTCATCCATCCGAGACCCAATTGTCCCCCTTCCCCGCTTCGCTCTGCAGAAGAATTATAATTTGTTCAGCAGGAAGAGTGGGAAGAGCCAGAATTTAATTTCTAGGGCGAGTACTTCCATTGGATAATATTGTAAATGGAAATTCTTTTGAAGAAAAAAAAACCATGATTGGTTGGATGTTAGAAAGTGGTAATTAAATTCCATGAAAAGCTACTTTGAAGTCTGTCTATCTTTTGAAAACACTTCTACACAAGCATCCTGCCCCCCAGCTAGATTCACTTCCCAACCTAACCAAGAAAATGTTCCACCATCACCTACTCTCTAGCCGATCAAAACTCAACGACAAAATTGTGGGCTTTTTTAAACTTCAAGGGAAAGTGAGTACGTCTCACCCCACCAACCACTCCCACAATGAATGACATATACCTAGGTAACAGATTAAAAAAATTACAAACCACATTACTAGAAGGCCCATCTCAAGATTTTCAGTGCCCAATGCGGTAATGAACAGGCCAGAACCTACATCTAATTGACTATACGGCGTCTATACCCCAATTCTATGGTAGGGGTTCTGAATGGACACTTAAATGCTCATTTAAAATTTATTGAAATAAATTGTGAGGGGGCAAAAGGAGCCTAACCTACAACGCAAGCTAAAATATCATCTATGCAATTTAATATAAATCACACACTGTGTATTTTCATTACATTTAGATCATTACAAGTAATTGAACTGTCCCAGTAATTAGCTTTTAAGCCTTTTGATCACCACCCTATCTAAGTCGGCTCTAATTGCCAGATCAACATTACAAAGAAAGTTGAAGTTATCAAGTACAAGGAAAAACAGAGAAAAATGCAGGAGATGATGAGTGCACTAACCTTGAATGCAAAAATTCATTAACTTCATCATCCCGCAAGCCTTCCTCCTCCTGTGCATAGTGATTGTTGATGTGTCTCTTTTTAAACGAGCATGAAGCACTTGAAACAGAGCCACCATCATTGTGCTTCTTACCACTGACCCTAGATTCCACAACACCCCTTTGATTATTTGCACTGCTATTCTCATTCCCCAATCTACGTTTGTTCCTACTCTCAACATCCAACTCTTTATGTCTTAATCTCCACATCTCATCTACTTCAACGGCTCGATTAGCTGCAATGTCAAGACAACCATTAATATAAACCGAAAAGGAAAGCCACAACTACTTGTTCCATCCCAAAAAAGAACCCGGTTTGTAAACTTATATTTCTCCCAAAATATAGCTCCTTTTTTTAACATAAGAATCTAATTTGGTACTCATTATATATTTATATTTAAGTTACTGTTTTAAAAAAAGTATTCAACACCAGTTATGTATGATAATAGTATATTTAGAAAAGCCAACGTACAAATAATAGATTATTTTCCAACAGTTGTATACTTGCATTTATAAAAGTTAACGGTCTTTGTTTTGTGAAAGGAGACACTGTTTTTTTTGGAGGGGGGAGAATAAAACAACATAAAAGCCACAATGGTGAGGAAATGATTTCACACCACCAAGGTTGTCATGCCGCCGCCTAGTTGCCGACTAGGCTTCTTGGCGATGGAGAAGAGTCGACAAGGGAGATAGACTCGACTGAAGAAGATTAGTCACATGTGGCGTCGTCCAGCCACAGACCTGTCATCAAGGCAAAGTCCGAGTGTCGCGCCAAGGGAGATTAAAAATTTAGTGACGTCGTTTGTAGAAACCCAGCCCAAAATAAGATTTAAAAGTAGTAATTTGAAAACTAATTTAGAGTTTTAGAAAGTTTCTAAAACTCTCTGCCTAGGCAATATGGCGGTTGGTGGCGCCGCGTCGCCTTGACAGCCTTGCACACCAGGCGCAAGGTAATCTAAAGTGCTCACCCCATCGCTTAAGCGCAGCAGGGCCTCCAGCACTTGGGAGAAGGGGAGGCGTACATACCTGGGTCGGGCGCAGCATCAACGCATGAAGCGCTGGGAGGCGCACGCCTGGTTCGCATAATTCGGAAAAGGCTGACAAGCCTTTTTTGGTTTAAAACTTTCAAAAATAATTAGCACATATGACTGTATCTTTAATCACACTCAGCCGATCTAAATAATAGGGTAAAACCATTGAAACCTACGTAAAACCTTAAGTCAAGTATGTAAGAACATAAAACACAAGCTATCATCGCTAGTCATCATTGCTCTTCAGTCTACTCACTCTTCTCACTCAAGCTGCTCTACACCGGCCAGTTCTTTCAGTTTTCTTCATCATCTCAAGCAAACTCAGTTCCCCCTCACAGCACTAAACAAGATATGTAACCCTCAAACCTATAAAGTTTGAGGGATTAGCTCGAAAAACCTAAGGCATCACAATGTAGACATTACGCTCATTTTAGAGTGAGAGAGAGGAGCGACCGATCATAGGGTGTACCAAATTTCTTGATCACTTTAATATTGAATCGGAGCTTCTTTTCTTCTCTATTTTGTTTTATTGTTCGTTTGATTGTTGGAAACGGGACAAACATTTTCATTTAGGCTTAAATATATTTTCAGTCCCTGCAAATATGACACACTCTGACTTAAGTCTCTGCAAAATAACTTTTTTGTTTTTCATCCCTGTAATATACACTATTTTGTTTTTAGTCCATATCTAATTCCGAAATCACTCTACTTAGGAAAAAAAATTATTGTCAGTTGCATAAATGAACTAGAAATATTGAAATTTGTCCTTTTAATAATATTTTGAGGCTAATATACGAATTAAAACAATGTAAAACTAAGTATTCACATTTTATAAATATATATTAAAAATATTTTAGAAATAAAATTAAATACTTTTTGAATAACATGACAAAGAATTAGAGAAGATCTACTAGCCATGAGTTAGGAGAGTGCATTTTTGCGCCTTGCGCCTCAGGCGATATGAGTACTTTGGCGCCTTGAGTGCGCCTCTTGATTTTAACTACAAAAGCATGGAAGAAATTTACCTTGTTGTATGCCAAGCACAGTTGCTGTAAGAAACCTTGAATTAGGGCGCCCCCTAACTGCAGGTTTACAAAGATAAGCAAGTGCACCCTCTTTATCGGTTTGCCGCCTTAACTCTGAAGCTTGTCTCAAAAGAATTGCAGCAATTTTATTTTCAGTTGCCAAATCCATACCAAACTCCCGCCTCCCTCTACTGGCAAAAAGAACAGAAAAGAGTAATTCAACAAAGCATATCATATAAAGAATTGATTCCACTTTTGATCCTATGAGTACTATGTCAATCCCATATCTAATCATTATTTAAATCGTCAACTTTTAATACATTACTATTGATTCTTGTCCATTTGGGGTCCTTAGGGCCAAATCTCTGACCTCTCTGATTATCACTGGGAATATCAACAGGTAAATATCGGCGGAAGGAGCATAGGCGGGCAATAAACAAACTATCATTTAAAGAATCTATAATGTTTACAAATTTAGTTACAGAACCTACGTGTGTAACCCTAATGTGGATGATAATTGATAATGCAGGCAAAAAAATCATAGAACGAGAAATAGGGAAACTACTTGTCAGTTTTAACAATGCATCGGAATTTATAATACATAAACCAACACGCTCAGGAAAAGGGGAACAACCCGATATACATAACCTGAAAAAATTCATAAGTCATAAAACATGAAACAAGAGAAAAAAATGGAGAACGTTACCGTGATGAGGTATACTAAGCCCTCGAACCATAAGTGGACAAAGTAGTAAGTGTTTATTCTTACCTTCCTTTTCGAATTGATGTTTGGATGGAATCGTATACCAAAAATGTTCTGAAAATTAATTAACTACCTAATTGATACTGTATATTCAATCATAATATAAATTTACTTGAAAAGATAAGAAGAATACGACACCTCAATTCTTCAAAACCCCTTCACCAATTAGGTTGAAGTCAGAATCTTCTACGAGTTGCTGCCTGCAGAAAGAGGCGGAGGGGACGAGCGGAATTGTGCCGTGTACGGCAGATGAAGAACGACGAATTCATTTTCAAATACGGAAAACGGAACCGGTTATGTAGTCGGTTATTCTATTTAGTCACTGTGAGATCAGAGATGTACATTTGTATCGGTTTCTGCCCATTTCAAAACATGAAATTGCAATTTGATTGGTTGGGTTTGTTTCAATTTGGTTCTGTTTTCGGTTTTTTTTTTACTAGAAATGTCGATTGTTTTAATAGCAAACATATTACATAAAAAATGCAAGCATGCTAGAACAATTGAAATATATAAAAAAAGAGTAAATATGTTGATGAGTTAGAATTTGTGCTTCATTTTTATATTATTTTATTACAATTCTAAGCTCATTATTTACCTAATTGAGAGGTTTGAGTTATATTGTGTGATAAAAATGATTTTTACATGTGAGAACTTTAATTGAAGGATTTGAGGACTTTTGGACTAATTTGTGGAGATTTTTCCTTTTCCAAGGGTTGTTAAGAAATAAAAAGAAGTGAGTCAAATACTTTTTGTTTTGAAGAAAGCCAAAAAACAAAAGGAAAAAGAGGATTACTCCTCTTAATTTATACGGCAGCGGCAAAAGAAAAAAAAGGAGAGCTAAAGCAGTCCAGTGGCGCACAAGGGAAAAGGATTCGATCCAAATTAAAAGAGGGCAGTTATCTCAGTCTTAAACTCCTACCCCAGCAACCCAAATCCGGAAAGAAACGAAGGAACAAAGGGCCCAAGAACAAAAAGAGTGCAGGGGTGAGAGACTCCTGGTCTCATAAGTTCAAATGACACCGGGAATTCAGGAGATGAGCGTCTCTAGCGGCTAAATGATTGATCCCGTTGTACCCTTCGCTATAAAAACGCAGCAACAAGGGTTTTAAAGGGGGATTCTGGCTGCCAAGTTGGGAGAGCTGAGGGCCGAAGGAGGTAGGAGGAAGAGCCTGGGCTACGTGAGACTGTGCGTGACTGTTCAGCAAGGCTTGTAGCAATGGTTTGCTGATTCCCAGTTTAATCTATGGCAGCAGCACAAGTTTGTATTTACATTCTCCGTATACTCTAATCTTCTCCTGAAATTTACTCCTGGGAACTTTGATTTGTTATTGCTATTCGGTATTATTTTAAGATGGTTAGAACAAATTGCTACACTCTTATTGTCTTGGTTTATTTTTCTATGAGTAGATAATTTTCTAAGTCCGGATTATGATGAAGTTGCTATGATTTAGTATAAATTGTGATTTTAGTTAAGTCAATTGATTGAGTTTTATCCATTGTTCTTATTCACTTAATTGATCATGTTAATTTCTGGCCAACTTTAGTATGATTGATTAAGTTGTTTGAGTGGATTAATAGAGTACATGCCATGCCTCTTAATTCGAGCTCTTTTGGATAAAAGAATAGATAATTTAACTGTCTTGTTAGGTTGTCTATTTGGTTCTTAAATCGGGTTTCCGTAGTTCTTTTGTGATTAATGGATTTTAACTATTGAATTGATAATTTCCTGTTGATCAATAGTTAAAGTACGTGACTTATTCTGGACGTCATACAGAATAGTCATATTTTTGCCTAGAATGAACCCTCAATTTGAATTGACTAACTAAATCACAAATACTAAAAATTAGTGACAGATTCATAATCCTGAACTACTTTTTCTCTTGTTTAGTTCTCAACCAAATTCCCGTTGGTTGTTCAATCAATTTATTTTATGTCCTTTAAATTCATTGCACCCATTTTAATTCAAGCCTCACTTTTCAGTTTTAAATCAAACAAACTCAAAATTCATATTTTTAGTTACATTAAATTTACTTTTATTTTTATTAATAGTTTTCCAATTACTTAGTTGCATTTTCCCCGTGGATTCGACCCTTACTTGAGCACTGTACTACCGCGACTCGTGCACTTGCGAGGACTATTATTAAATTGTCTATCAATTTTTGGCGCCGTTGCCGGGGAATTTGTTTAACTAGTTTTTGGAAAATTGTTAATTTAATTTTATTTTAGTTAGTTGTGTTTGTTTTTCTTTTTTCTCTTTTTTTTGTATGCTTGGTCGCAGATCACTTAATCCAGATTTGATATCGTTGAATGACCAAGTTGACTTAATTAGCAAAAGGACAAAAAGGAGGCTCCAATTTGCTCCTAATCGAACAATGGGTGACGCTACACTGATGAAAGAGTTTGGGAGACCAACTGTAGGTGTCTCCCCATCCTGCATTGTACTGAGTGAGGCTGCCCGAAATTATGATCTGAAGACTGTTCACTTTAATCAATTGCCATCTTTCTACGGGCTTTCTTCTGAGGATGCGTTGATCTTTATTCGAGATTTCTATGGCATTATCCAAAATTTCCCTTTGCACGGAGTGACTGAAGATGAGTTGAGGATGAGGTGTTTTCCCTACACTCTCAAAGATGCTGCGAAGACGTGGTTTATGTCTTTAACACCTGGTTCATTGCGCACTTGGACTGATGTATACAATAAGTTCATTGGCAAGTATTATTCTCAGTCGAAAACTTCAGAATTAAGAAGAAAAATTGCCAATTTTACTCAAGCTGAAGGTGAGCCATTTCATGAGGCGTGGGAGAGATTCAAGATGCTACTCACTCAATGTCCACACCACGGTTATTCATTGGCGCTCCAGAATCAGACTTTCTATGACGGTTTAAACCAAGGATGCCAAGCTATTGTTGACAACGCAGCTGGAGGAGCAATGGGAGAGAAGACCGCAGAACAAACTTTAGAGCTTTTCGAGATTCTTGGAGCCAATTCACAACAGAAGAGTGTGCGGGGCAGAACTCCAGGAATTTATGAAGTGGGAGTTGGGACAGAACTAGCCATCCAGATGTCCGAGTTGTCCAAACAGATGAAGAATATGTGCTCTGTGATGACAACAATGAGCATGTCTACTCCCGTTGTGCATGCAGTACCTGAAAGTGGTTTTGAGCAAGCCCACATGATGAACTCATACAACCAAGGGCCAAGGAATGATCCATTCTCCAACTCTTACAATCCTGGTTGGAGAAATCATCCTAATTTCTCATGGGGTAACGCGCAACAAAGCAACCAGCCACCACCTATACAGAAGAAGCCTGCTTTGGAGGATACTTTGCAAACTTTCATGCAAATCTGCACCCAAAATCAGCAGGCAAATGAGCAGCGTTTTCAGCGCACCGAGGCCTCTTTGAGGAAGCTAGAAGTACAAGTTGGGCAGATTGCTGAATGTTTACAGGGCCATGTGCAAGGGAAGCTACCAAGCCACACTGAGGAGGCAAAAGCTATCACGGTTCTTAGGGGTGGCAAGATAATTGAGAAAGATGAAGGACAACCCATTGTGAAGCCACCGGAAGAGGTTGAAGCTGAAAAGAAAGAAGAAGTTGAGGCTGGGGAGACTGGGCTTCACAAAGCTAAGGATCCATATGTGCCACCTAAGCCATATGTTCCACCCGTTCCTTTCCCAAACAGGTTAAAAAGTTCTAAATTTAACAATTCTTTTGATGAGATTTATAAGTTGTCGTCTAAGGTTAATGTGAATCCGCCTCTTCTTGACATGATAAAAAACATGCCTGCCTACGCTAAATATTTGAAAGAATTGAGCACTAAAAAGCGTAGGTATGAACCAAATGAAAAAGTGTTTGTTTCTAAGGTTGTTAGTGATGTTTTACAAAAAGATTTGCCCCCAAAATTAGAAGACCCTGACAGTTTTATTATCACCATTAATTTAGGGAATTCTAAATCTGAGAAAGCTATGCTTGATTTGGGGGCAAGTATTAATTTGATGCCTTATTCTGTTTATTTGAAATTAGGGGTGAATGAGTTGAAATCCACTACTATGTCCCTACAGCTTGCTGATCGTTCAACTAGATATCCAAGGGGCATAGTAGAGGATGTTTTAGTTCAAGTGGATAAATTGATCATTCCTACTGATTTTGTGGTTTTGGATATGGATGATCAGTGTAAGTATGTGAAAGATATGCCGATTTTACTTGGTAGACCTTTTATGGCTACTGCAAAAACCACGATTGATGTTCAAAATGGAAAATTGACTATGAGTGTGCTTGATGAAACTATTGAGTTTTCCATTTTGAAATCAATGAGTATGTCGGCCGATTCTAATTCATGTTTTGCATTTGATATTCTTGATCCTATTGTTTCTTTGGACAAGTCACAGGAAGATGGTCTTGCGAATCATGCTTTTGAGAAAGCGAAAGTTTGCAAGAAAGGCATTAATTGTTTGCATCAAAAGTCCATTTTGAGGAAGGATTTTAAACCTGGAATTAAAGTGTTATTGCTTGACTCTCGTTTAAGATTTCTTCCAGGAAAAATAAAGTTTAAGTGGATTGGACCGTTTGGGATTCGCCGAGTTTTTCCCGACGGTGCAATTCAGCTTATAAATCCAAAATCCGGGAATATTTTTAAAATGAATGGTGAGAGAGTGAAGAGATATTCATGTAATGAAGATTTGGTGGAGCAAGTTGAGAGTCTTGAGCTTTGGGAACATTGTTGCTCTTGTTGTGTTTAATCGCATTTTTTTTATTAAAAAAATCAAAGAAAAAAAGTAAAAAAAAAAAAACAAAAGACAAAACAAAAAACAAAAAAAAATCATTTTCTTAATTCTGTTCCCCCCCCCCCCATTTTGTTCTTTTCTTTCTTTGTTTTCCTTAGTTTTGCAGGTTAATTTCGAAGGCGTTTCAGTTCTGGTTTGAAGTGCACTAGGGAGTATTTCTTTTCCATTTTATCATTCCTTCATTGTGCTTAAGGCTTGAAATAAGTGTGGGGGGAGGAGTTGCTCCCATTTTTTAGTTCTATCTTAGTTTTAAAAAAAAATCAGAAAAACTGCAAAAACAACAAAACAAAAAACAAAAACAAAAAAAACTGTTTTCTTGCTTGAATTTGAGGGAAATTTGATTTCAGGATTACTTTTTTGGCTTCAAGCTGTGAAAAGTTTCCCTTTCATTGGTATGTGGTATGATTGATGGTCTCCATGATAGATATTCTCTTGAATTTGATTGAGTCCTCGCATTGTTTTTACTTGGAGTCAATTTCCTACTTTCTTGTGTCATTGATTTTGATGTATTTTTCAATTCTTTATGACCTTTTAGGATGCATCTCTAACGTTCTTGGAAAGAGTGTGAGTCCTTTGTCGTTTAGTTAACATGATAGAACTTGTCTTGTTGCTCTTTTGGAAGCTAAGTTATTGTGCAAATTGATTGAGAAGTGATCTAGGCCATTTTTCATAACCCCAAACCTTTTAGCCTACCCTTTGCATTTTATTTCCACTTGCTACCCCCCCTTGAGCCTAAGTGGTCTTAAAGCATTCTATCGTGCTTCTGACTAACAATTTCTTTGTGATTACCCATCAATGTTGACCCCGAGCCCAAATAGCCAAAATTTTCCCACACCCTTGAGTTGACATTTTTTTTACTAAATTTTGACTTGGAAGAGTTTTCATTTTTTTTTGGAGCATTTTTTTTCCCGGCAGTTTGTATAGATGTAATATTGTTGCGGCAGCTTGACATTTCCTTTTAGAAGTAGTGTTGATGTAGCATTAAAAAAAAAGAGTTGAAAAAATACAAAAAAAATACAAAAAAACAGAAAAAAAAGTGAAAAAAGACAAAAAAAGATGAGTTCAGTTGAAGTTTGTATTCTTTTCACTTTATGTATGTACTCCGTTGTCTTAGAAGCCGGTTGATTGTTGCAATAGTTTTTTGTGCTCCTTTAGCATATTTTTGAGCTCTTCCTAGGATCAGTTTAGTACATAAAATGACTTCTCCTTTGTTTGAATTCCCATATCCTTTCTTTCATTAAACCATTACCCATGGCCACGTTACAACCCCAATAAAAGTCCAAGTGATCTTGATTAGTTTGTGCTTTGATAAGGTGGAAGGAAGAGCATAAGATGACAATAGAGTGTTGACTGATTGACTTAGGACTTTGGATAATTTCTGTGAATGTTACTTGAGCATTTCACTAGGTCATTTAGAATTGTAAAAGACATCTCTATTAATGACATGTGAGTCTAGTTGATTGACTTTTGAGTTTGACATTGTGGTGGATACTTGATTCGAATTTCTCGAGTTATCTTGTTATGGAGGGGTTTGTTGGAATGCTTGGTGAGTGAAAGGGGAATTTGATCACTTGTGGCTGATTTAGTTTCTTGATATTAATTTTCCTTGAGGACAATAAAATGCAAGTGTGGGGGAGTTTGATGAGCTAGAATTTGTGCTTCATTTTTATATTATTTTATTAAAATTCTAAGCTCATTATTTACCTAATTGAGAGGTTTGAGTTATATTGTGTGATAAAAATGATTTTTACAGGTGAGAACTTTAATTGAAGGATTTGAGGACTTTTGGACTAATTTGTGGAGATTTTTCCTTTTCCAAGGGTTGTTAAGAAATAAAAAGAAGTGAGTCAAATACTTTTTGTTTTGGAGAAAGCCAAAAAACAAAAGGAAAAAGAGGATTACTCCTCTTAATTTATACGGCAACAGCAAAAGAAAAAAAAGGAGAGCTAAAGCAGTCCAGTGGCGCACAAGGGAAAAGGATTCGATCCAAATTAAAAGAGGGCAGTTATCTCAGTCTTAAACTCCTACCCCAGCAACCCAAATCCGGAAAGAAAAGAAGGAACAAAGGGCCCAAGAACAAAAAGAGTGCAGGGGTGAGAGACTCCTGGTCTCATAAGTTCAAACGACACCGGGAATTCAGGAGATGAGCGTCTCTAGCGGCTAAATGATTGAACCCGTTGTACCCTTCGCTATAAAAACGCAACAACAAGGGTTTTAAAGGGGGATTCTGGCTGCCAAGTTGGGAGAGCTGAGGGCCGAAGGAGGTAGGAGGAAGAGCCTGAGCTACGTGAGACTGTGCGTGACTGTTCAGCAAGGCTTGTAGCAATGGTTTGCTGATTCCCAGTTTAATCTATGGCAGCAGCACAAGTTTGTATTTACATTCTCCGTATACTCTAATCTTCTCCTGAAATTTACTCCTGGGAACTTTGATTTGTTATTGCTATTCGGTATTATTTTAAGATGGTTAGAACAAATTGCTACACTCTTATTGTCTTGGTTTATTTTTCTATGAGTAGATAATTTTCTAAGTCCGGATTATGATGAAGTTGCTATGATTTAGTATAAATTGTGATTTTAGTTAAGTCAATTGATTGAGTTTTATCCATTGTTCTTATTCACTTAATTGATCATGTTAATTTCTGGCCAACTTTAGTATGATTGATTAAGTTGTTTGAGTGGATTAATAGAGTACATGCCATGCCTCTTAATTCGAGCTCTTTTGGATAAAAGAATAGATAATTTAACTGTCTTGTTAGGTTGTCTATTTGGTTCTTAAATCGGGTTTCCGTAGTTCTTTTGTGATTAATGGATTTTAACTATTGAATTGATAATTTCCTGTTGATCAATAGTTAAAGTACGTGACTTATTCTGGACGTCATACAGAATAGTCATATTTTTGCCTAGAATGAACCCTCAATTTGAATTGACTAACTAAATCACAAATACTAAAAATTAGTGACAGATTCATAATCCTGAACTACTTTTTCTCTTGTTTAGTTCTCAACCAAATTCCCGTTGGTTGTTCAATCAATTTATTTTAAGTCCTTTAAATTCATTGCACCCATTTTAATTCAAGCCTCACTTTTCAGTTTTAAATCAAACAAACTCAAAATTCATATTTTTAGTTACATTAAATTTACTTTTATTTTTATTAATAGTTTTCCAATTACTTAGTTGCATTTTCTCCGTGGATTCGACCCTTACTTGAGCACTGTACTACCGCGACTCGTGCACTTGCGAGGACTATTATTAAATTGTCTATCATATGTTAGGAATGATATGAGTATATGTAATAGAAAACATACTTTTCTTGTCTTTTTGAAACAAAAATGTATATATTCTTATTTTACATTTTTGTGACTAGTTTGAAAAAAGTTCATGAATATATTCCTTCTGATCTAAAAGGTATAATTGAGATGAATATTTATTTATTTTGTAAATATAAAATTTTAGATTACATTAAAGTAAAAGTTACTCTAATAAGCACCAAAAACATATTACCATCATGTAACAAATTGCAAAATACATACGTAAAAGACATAATAGATCAATATAGCTATATTATTATTAGGAATGAAATTGCAAATGTATTTATAAACTAAACCACAAATATAATAAATTGACATTTAATATGAAATACATAATATGTATATCACAAAACATTAATTTATAACACAAGAAAACCAAAGACTATCGATGATAATATGATTAATGCTTAATGGATAACATATAAAATTTCACATTTCAAATAGTTCGGTTTATTCGATTTTGAAGGGGCGATAATATTGATGTAATTGCGGATGTCGGCCACGGGTTCAATTGATGTCATGGAACTAAGCCTCCTCGCCCGCCTTTGAGGTCGTGGCATCGCTAGATTTCTCTTGTTGAACCCACGGATCCTGAAGGGCCTTAGCCGCGGTATTCTTGTTTGATTGAGTTTTTCCCAACTTAGAGGTGTTACTAGTGTCTGATAGAAATAGGGGTATTAACTTGATTGTTCTTTCTCTCAACGAGAGTACCAAATGATAGGTTGCTAGTAAACCGTTGGTGATATTGTAGAGAGAAGAGAGAAATATGAGTATAGAGATAAAGTGATTTGTATAAAATCAGATTCGAACCCTTTACAATTGTCCCTCAAGGGGGTATTTATACTAGTAATAAATGAGCGGTGCATTAAGTGCACCTACACGAATTCGCTAATAATAATACATGGGCGAGAGCCATAATGTGTGTCAGAGTGCGACGCGTGTCATTCTTTAACTGACTTCTGAGAAAATATCTTCTGTTGGCCTAAGTGAAGTTGGCCGAGGTGCAGGTGCACCTCAGACCTGTTGTTAAACCTGTTTCTGAGCGATTATGTCTAGGATCCGTGAATATGCCTGCCAAGGTGTCATATCTGAGGTGACTAGTACGGACAGTAGCCGTATTTCTGCATTCTGTACTGGGTTTGGTTGAAAGGCCCAGATGATGTCATGGTCTTCCGCCCCCCCACGCAAATATGATGGCGTGCACGCGTAGGACGGTGATGATCTCAGTTCTCAGTGATGCGGGGAGCTGCGCCCCGATCTTTAGAGTCCTCTCTGGCTTGGCCAGGTCTAGAGGGATGTCTTCTACTTCTTCTACCGGTTCAGCCCTCGGGTTTTCCTCCTCGGTCTCCACCGTCATAAAAATGGTGTCCACTCGAAGGTCTGGCTTGGCCACCTTTTTGGTAATCTTGAGATAGCACGATCGGGCAATCCTCTGATTCCCCCTGGCATAGCCTACACCCTCAGTTGTTGGGAACTTTGAGGCATAGATGCCTCATGGAAATGATGGCCTTTAAGTCCTCCGGCACAGGGCGCCCGAGGATGAGGTTGTGTGCACAATTGAGGTTGACGATGATGAACTCCATTTTGAGCTTGGCTCTATGGGTCTCGTCGCCCACCTCAACCTCGAGGGAGATTGTACCCTCGGCGTTGATCGAGTCCTCGGTGAATCTAGCGAGGGGAGTCCGGATGACACGCAAGGCTGATTTGTCGAGCCCTAACTGCCTGAAGGTTCTCATATACATGATGTTGATTGAGCTGCTGATGTCGATGTACGTGCGGTAGATGATGACGGCTTTGATCTCACGCTTGATGACGAGGGCATCTCGATGGGGCGAGAGTCCGAGGGCGAACCGCTGTTAGTGAAAGTTATGGGCTCAAACTTGGCCTTTTTTTCAAAAGGGAAGGGATATGGCTGACCTCCCCAATGTACAGGGATTCTGCCCACTTTTTTCGTTGCGTGGCCGAGTACCCCAGTGTTGCCCCCGGCAATAAGGGTTGATGTGATGCTTTTTGTAGGGGGACGACCATGGCCTTCGTCCTCATCGCTGAAATTGCCAATCTCACACTTTTTGTCGTGGTGGCCATTTCTTCTAATGTTGTTGGGATTGACGCAGGTGTTTGCTTTATTTTTGCAGCCGTTCACAAACTGAGACAATTGCCGCCTTTCTATCAACCGCTCAATGGGCGTCTAGAGCTGGTGGCAGTCCTCGGTGTTATGGTCGGCATGCCAATGGAAAGGCAAAATGGCTCACTAGGATTGATAGTTAGGACATCTTGGGACGCCTTCGAGCCTCGCTCCACCAACTCATGTTCCTCCACATAGTCAAGGATGACGCTGATGGGGTGGGCCAGGGGGTGTGTGGCTGTTCAAGGAGCACTATTGTGCCAAGGCCTTCGAGTTGTACTTGTAGCCCCCCCCCCCTCCCCCCGAATTTGGCTTGACTGTGTCGGGGTTTGTTGTTAGGTGGTGGATGCGGTTTTGGCGCTGATGGCTTTGATCCAGATCCCTGTTGGGGTTTTCCTTCTGGCTTGCAAAGAGTCTCAGGGTGTCGGTGGTACCGATATACATCATCTGCCTCTACGTGCCTATCTCCTCGCTGGAGGGCCCTGGTGTAGTCTTGGGGGGGGGGGATAAGTGATCAGGCTTCTTGAAAAGCTGTCGGAGCAAAGGACGATCTGGAGGAGGGCCAAGAGCATTCTCTCATCCGCCCCATCAACCTTGTCCGTTTCCAGCCCCCATCGATCCAGGAACCCCCGGAGGGTTTCATCCTTCCCATGTCTAACAGTGAGCAGGTGGTAGAAATGTTTCTTTGCCTGATGCCTTCCAACGAACTAGGTCAGGAAACGCTGGGCTAACTCTTTCCACGAGTTGATGCTCCCCTCCGGGAGTTGGTTGAACCATTCGTAAGTCAGGCCCTCAAGTGTGGAGAGGAACCACCGGCATATATATTCATCCGATGCCCTGATCATTAGCACGTTGTTCGAGTATCTGTTGTAGTTTTCCTAAGGGTTAGTCTTCCCCTCGTATGGCTTGATGTGTTGTCCACTTTCCCCCCCGGGAATCTACGCAGCCAGTACCTTTGGGGTGAAAGGCGTTCTAGTGTGAAGTGGCCTCTTCCCTTTGTCGCGAAGGGTCTGCCTTTCCTCCGCTCTGGACACTGAGCCCTTGCTCTCCTGGTTGTGGGAAAGGTTGTGTGCCTTATCCCACAGTCAGTCTTGGACCGGCCAACGCTCCTATCCCCCGCATATTCTCTTGAGTGCATAAGTGCAAGCCCGATTTTCGCTGATGCTTGGCTTTGTCCTAGGACTAGACCTCCTGAGAAGCGGTGTTTTGGGCGACGACCCCTTCATCGTTGCGGATGGCCAGGAACGAGGTTGTCGAACAGCGGTGGCAGAGGAGGGGGAGGAGGGGTGATGTTTTCGCCGGTCTGGGGGAGCAGAGCCCCGAGGGCACCAGGGTTTTGGGAAAGGGTGTTGATGAAAGTGAAAAGCTTCGTGTGCACGTCGAGGAACGGGTCGGGCCGTCAGTTGTCCATTTCGATCCTTCCTTCGGTGAGTGCAAAGTTCGGTAGCGACCTGCTCCATTTCAGTGACAATGTCGGCTTCACCATTCTTCATGGATGCGGCGGCAGCGCCATTCGTCCCTTCGGGGATCTGGTGGGGTTCTTTGAGGGTCTTGGAGTTACCTCTAGTTCTTCCCATTGCTCGAAGGTGTGTTGTTTTCTGAGAGGAGGGTTCTCGATCACTTAATTGTTATAAGTCTCTCAACGAGAGCACCAAATGATAGATAGCTAATACCGGGATACCACTAATGGTATGTAGAGAGAAGGCATAGCTATTAAGTAGGAGAGAGAGAGAGAGAGAGAGAGAGAAATCATATAAATGAATATTCGAACCGTTATAGCTGCCTATGGGGGTGCTATTTATACTAGTCCTAAATGCTAAATGCATTAAATGCACATACACGTGTAGGCTAGTTTATGGCGGAGGGTGCCCTTGTGGCGAGGCGTGCATGTGGCGCAACATTAAATGCAGTACTTGGGAACTGAGATCTGTGTCGGGGTTTCCCCCTCGATGCTGAAGGCTATGTTCCGAGGGCTAAGATGCGAATGACCCAGCTTTCTCGTGCGGGTGAACCATAGTGGTCCTCTATAGTATCGACCCCTCGGGCCTATGCCCGAGGGGTGTCCGTTTGCTTTATTTGGGCCGACTGTGGTTGTTGGGCCTGTGGAGATGACAGGAGTATGTGGACTGGGGGCCATGGGCCATGAACTCCAACAACAATAACAACACCACCACCACCACCAACAACAACAACAATAATAAAAGTGAGAAATCATGTTTGAAAATTTTCTGATCTGATCTGAATGTTTCTGGGTTGAGATGAATGCTTCTGATGTGATCTGAATCTTTCTGATCAAATCTAATATAGTTTTAATATTTCTAATTTGATCTGATCTAATCTAAATTTTTCTAATCCGATCTTATCGAAACAAAATAAGAATAAATATTAAGTAATAAGAATAAAAAGAAGAGAACCTTTTCTAAGCTTTGAAGCACGAATACTTCACTAGGATACCGTATCGACGTATCGGAAACGTTCCCGTATCCGATACTCTAGGTTACCCATACCGTACGTACTCGGGCAGTATCTTCAATTTTTAAAAGTTTCCATTTTTTGGTAATTATTTTAAAATTTCGGATACTGGTATCCTGA